CATTTATTCTCAAGGTAGGGTATTTATCACCTAAGCAGGGCTATGTTCTCAATGAACTCTCAGTATTCCCTCCCGCCTTTGGAATCTCATGGGTTATCTGTTGTGTTTATCAGTGCTGTGGAGACATCAAGGGAGGCGAGATGGCAATTTTTGCATCCAGAGCAGGACCGAACCCCTGCTGGCACCCGGCGTGCTTCGTGTGTGCCACGTGTCAAGAACTCTTGGTGGATCTGATCTATTTCTACCATAGTGGCAAGATCCTCTGCGGCAGACACCACGCCGAGCTTCTAAAACCGCGATGTTCTTCCTGTGATGAGGTAAATGGCAGTAATGGTATACTGGGTACTGTTATGTTAATGTTTTAAAAGGATTCCTCATAATTAACATTAGAATATGCTTTTCCCGTTAGATCATCTTTGCAGATGAGTGCACTGAAGCAGAGGGTCGTCATTGGCACATGAAGCACTTTGCCTGTTTTGAGTGTGGGACAATGCTAGGAGGCCAGCGGTACATCATGAAGGATGGAAGGCCCTACTGCTGTGGGTGCTTTGAGTCATTGTACGCAGAGTACTGTGAATCCTGTGGTGAAAACATTGGTAAGTTATATTTTCACTTCATTCCCCTATACTAAAAACAAGGTCCCACTGATGTATTCTTTTGTGTACTTAATTTTTTTAAATCATATCTTATAGGTGTTGACCATGCCCAGATGACCTATGAAGGTGTGCACTGGCATGCCACTGACCAGTGCTTCTGTTGTGCCCAGTGTAAGACATCCTTGCTGGGTTGCCCATTCCTGCCCAAGCAAGGTCGCATCTATTGCTCAAAGGCCTGCAGCCAGGGGGAAGACATTCATGCCTCAGACTCATCTGATTCTGCATTCCAGTCTGCTCGTTCACGTGAATCCCGGCGCAGTGTTCGTATGGGGAAGAGCAGCAGGCCAGCTGAACAATGGAGGCAGTCACAGCTTTTCAATCCTCCTGCCACCGTCCCCTCGTTTGAGCACAAGCATGAAAATGGTGAGGGTGAAGCAGACGCCGATGGTGACATTGATATTGTAGGGCGTAAGCTTGCTCATTTCGGCCTGGATGAGGAGAGGTTCTGGCGAGAGCGGGAGGAGCCGGATGCAGGGGGAGAGGAGGATCCAGAAGAGTGGGCCCAGCATGAAGACTATATGACTCAGCTTCTACTCAAGTTTGGTGACCGTGGGATGGTACACCAACTTCAGCAACCATCCCAAAAATCTCCTAGTCTTTCTGGTGACACAAACAGGCTAATAAGTGTGTCTGATCCCTGGCTAAAGCCCGATACTACATCTATGGGGATTGCTTCTCCCACTCCTGCCAGTCCCACCCAGAGTCATTCCTCCAGCCAATCCCGAGCCAACAGCCTTAGCCCTGGACTGATGAGCAAGAAGAACCTGCCTGAAATGTATTGGGCCCAATCGCAGGACGGGCTGGGAGATTCAGCCTATGGGAGCCACCCAGGTCCTGCCAGTGCCAGAAAGATCCAAGAATTGGAGTTGGACCAAGATCAGGACCAGTCTGGGGCAAGACAGGCCTTCTGGGCAGACAGCAGACAGTGGTATGAAGACTCTTTGGAGTGTATTGCTGATGAGCTGAGGAATGTTGAAAAGAGTGTTGGAGACTCCATGGATTCCCTGGCTCTTTCAAATATCACTGGTAAGGAGATGTTTATATGAATTTAATTGTTTTGTTTTATTAAAAAAAAAAAAAGCTCAAAATTGACCTTCCTTGTTCATCCTCCTTAGGTGCATCAGTGGATGGAGATGGGAGGGACAGACCTTCAGTCTATACCCTTCATCCCATGCAGAATCCCTTGGTGGCAGAGAACTGTGAAAAGATGAGCAACATGGGAACGTTTAATTCCTCTCATCTTCATCACAGTGCCAATTCCCTCAATCTAAAACTGGACAAGGGAAATGAAGATGACGAGGAAGAAATAGCACTGACATTGAGGGGAGACACACAAGGTGGCATTCACTCATTGTCTCCACATTCGGAAGACCTTCCTGCCACCTTTGTTCATGCTCCAGCTCTGAGGAGAAGCAAGTCCCAATCCCGGCCCCCTCAGATGGTCAAGTTCTCAGAAGACACTGTGGATAATGGATATAATGATGGATATGAGGTCAATATCAGAAAGCACCCCATGAGTGAGAAGCCACACAGAAGGGCATACTGCCCAGATGAGATGGGCAGAGAAAGAATCCGCCCGACAAGCCACATAGGGCGCAACAGGCAGCACCACCACCGGTCAGGCAGGCACCATAGGAGCCGCAAGTCTCGGTCAGACAATGCCCTTCACATGGTGCCTTTGGAGAAGGTGCAGAGGCCGTATGAGCCCCAACAGCAGGGTCTTGTCAATCCGCCATATGGTGCTATGCTCCTGCAACATCCTTCACACCGGTTGCCAGTTGCTTATCCCCAAACTCGATCTGACTATATGCTTGGGAGCTTGATGCATAATGACCCACGGGTTGAGCACTTCATGGGGCTCTACAGAGATGAGGATGACTCATGCTCTACTTGCTCTTCCTCATCATCGGACTCTGAGGAGGAGGGCTATTTTCTAGGTCAGCCAATCCCTCAGCCCCGATCTAATGTGCGCTACTATGCAGAGGACTACCCAACAAGGGTCACGGCCCTTTCTTCCCAGAGCCATGGCCCACAGACTGGTCGGCAGAAGAGTCAACGGTCCAAAAACTGTATAATTTCTTAAAAACACCAGAGTGTATTTACTTTAGAATCTGCACAATGCGGTCAAGATTTTCAGTATGTATGGTGGTTTACACAGATCAAATCTGAGATTAGAATGGCAGCACTAACATGTAGTGTATGGCCAAATTCAAAATGCATATCGTATTTCAGGCCTATATCGACTGAAACAAGAAGTCTTTAATTTCAACTCTTAGGACCACAAAAAAGATGTGCAACATATAGTTTTTGTGTGTGTGTGTGTGCGTGTGTGTTCAAAGGTGGCCTCAGTACTGGGTCTTACTGATTTTCAGCACTAAGATAATGCACGGACTGATAAAGTTGAACACCTTTTGCTTCAGATTATGTACAGCTGGCGGTGGAGAAGTTAAACTTTAATTTCAGCTTTTGCTATTCAGTTTTACTTTTTAAAATGTTTTATGTTCATTTAATTTTTGCAGCAGTATCTTTTCTGTATTAAAGTGGCACAAAGGTTAATAACGTAGAACATAGAAACTAACCAAATAATTATTTAAAACATAATACAAAATTAAAATGTACATACTAAGTTAAGATTTTAATACTGCTATTTTTATATCCACGTTTAAAATGGTTGTTTTGCTTGAAGTCTATGATTTAAAAAAATGTTTTAATAGTGAAAAGAACTCTTAATATGTTATGAGAAACAACTAAGACAGTGCCACTTTCTTCAGTTACGTGCCATACTATTCAATAACAGTGCCACATATATTCCACTATTGGTGTACAATTTCTAAAATGACTGGCAGACCCACCAGTATTTTCCATATTCAGCCCAGCTGTTCACTACCATTGCTCTGAAATAATCAGCAAAAATGCTTTGTGATGTAAAAATGCTTGTAATAAATATTTTTCTTCAAAGCCTCAAAACTGACTGTTCTGTTTTTGAGTTTTGAAATTATTATTGCAACCACAGACTACTTAAAAGGCTGGGTCATGTGTTTCTGAACCCTGCATTTTGACATTGCATTATAGCTCTTGGTCATCAATAGCTATACAATGCTGCATGAAAAACCTTGAATGCTTTGGTTGCTTGCAGATTGCCATGGTTGCCAGTAGATTACATGGAAGATCCCAACTTGTGTGCAAACTATTTGAAACTGAAAAGTATGACACAAATCAGAAGCGGAGAACTTTTGCTTTCAAAGTAAACATTTTTTTTCACTTCTGAAATGTAATGGTTGCTGGGAAAGGCATAACTTTTTACTTTGAAGGCAAACGTTCCCTGTTTCTGGATTGTGTTGCACTTTCTTCAAATTTTACTACAGCTCTGAGAGCAATTGGCAAACATTTACAGACCAGTTGGCATTTTCTGAACAAACTGTGGGCAACTGCTGCAATCTACTAGAGAGCAAAGCAATCACAAGCATGGTTTTTGTACAGCACGCTGTTTTCACCTGGTCACAGCCCGCAACCACATATATCAACTGGTCAGGGAATACACAGCCGCCAAACTTTCTAGGCTATAGCTTTCTAGGCAAGCTATGTCTATAAATTGTATGGGTGAATTCCATTGTACAAACATATTAATAAGTATCAACTATCCGACTAATAAGACACTAGAGGTGCAGTTTGTCTTAATAAAATTGACCTTCCAAAGAACATGAGCACTTTAGCTGTCGCCATCCGTTTTCCCATTGACTTACATGGCAACAGAAGTTTTTGCGATTGTGACCACAGCTATAGAAAACATGTTGACTCACAGACTCCAGAGGCCATTGGATGAACAACAGTTTTTAATCTTTCATCCCTAAGGTTAAATTCACCATTATGATTTACAAATACTTCAGAGCAGCGGTCCCCAACCCCCGGGCCATGTACTAGTACCGGTCCATGAGTCTTTTGGTATCGGGCGGCGAGTGTTAAGGTTCGGGTGTGAAATTTATGGTTTTTAGGGTTTTTATGGTTAATATTTATTGTTTTTATCGTTACCTCAGTTTCCCTGTCTTTTTCCGCGTGTTATGGATAATTTTTTATTTTGGTACTGGTTTTATTTAGTTGTATTTATCCGCGACACCTTAAAGGCCGGTTTATAAAAATAAACCGATCCATGCCGCAAAAACATGCTTTTTTCATTGAGACATCGGTGAACTGATCCTAAAAATGTCTTGAGATTAGATCTCTCATAGCGCATGGATATTTTTCTGCAGGTATGAAACTTTTGTCAAAGGATTATGAAAAAAAATCAAGTTTGTTGGATGAATGTAGAATAGGGCTCAAATGCAAAATAAGACAAGACAAAGAAAGTGAATTTAACTGCTTTTTTACAGTACAAATTTATACAAGTATGTCAACCTGTTGTAAATTTAGCAGCACCAAGTCAAATATCTGCTACAAAAGAAAAATTTACATAGCTGAAAATACTACAAAAACCGATCATGCTGGAGAACTGAATCTCTGCTCTCCACAAAATATTCTCATCAAAAAGAAGATTAAATAATAAACCCCTTGTTAACCATTTTCACAATGTGAGACGAGAATAATTTTAAATAAAGAACGTGTTTCTTTTACTTAACAGAACGTTTTCTTTATGATTGATAAATTCCCACAGAAAACTTGAAGGTAAAAATGGTCCGTTCAAAAATAACACTGGTCATTCCTGCAAAGGATGTCCTCTCTCCATGGTGACCTGTTTTCTCCATGCTTACCTCCATGGTTTCGGTTTGAGCTGCTGAACAATCCGGACTTCAAACCGTCAAGCCTTCCTCCTCTGTCTCACATTAACGCAGCACATCCGGCTGATGTGTCAGTAAGATGAGCTGTGATTGACTGCTGTCTTTGAAAGTTTATGACCCGACTGGGATGTAGAGGGAGTGGTTGAGTCACAGGTGGAAGTTTCAGGCTGCCGGATGACGTCGTCTAGCTCGCTGATGAATTGTTTGAGGTCCTCTAGGCAACGTTCACGGATCTCCCCGAGGTTTTCTCGGAGGGGAACCTGCAGCTGCTTCTCCAAGTTGGGATCTTTAGCCACCAGCATCTTCACCACCATTCCGAACGTCTCGCAGTCCTGACGATACACCTGGTCGAGTGAAAAAAGATGAAATAAAATAAAATAATACTAACAGACAAACAAGAGGGAAACTTTACCTTCAAAAACCACTGAGCAGACATTTCCACCCTTTTTCAGTTTAGATTTAGCTATGTTAAGTGTTACCAGGCACAGCTTTGAGAGAAAAGCTCTTAATTGAGGGGATGGGGAGTTGTTTCCTTCCTGCTCTACCTGTCGCCTAGGTGTAAATACTCCAGCGTCACTGTGCCTAAGCTGATCACTCTGGTGCTAACACACCTCATACAGCGCCAAAAGATTAACACTCTTCCTCTCAAGTTTAATAGGGGCACTTGATATGGGACAGGGTAGCCCAAAGACGCAGTAAAACCTGCACTTCAGTGGTAGCTCGGAGGCTTGTAACAGGTGTTAGAGGGACAAAGAGGAGGTGCTGGAATCTAGTTTGGGAGCCGCCACTTCACACTGAGCCTATAATGTCTCAAAACAATGGAGGGAGCTTGTGCTTCCACACAGAGTGGTTTGATTTGCAAAATACCAAAACAGAGATTTGCTTTTAAGTCATGATCCTTTAAATGAGCTGAGAATGAAGGGGAAAATATCATTCCGCTCAACTGAAGATAATATTTATGGGCCCATTTCACATTTTGTAAGGGAGGGAAAATAACACGGCGTGTCGTGAATTCCCACTCTCACAAATATTCAGGAACACAAGGGCAGCTTTTATTTCTTATTTTCTTGAGTTTTTGGACGTACATACATTTGAGATGTAAGATGCATTTTAAAAATCACACACAAATACCCTGTCTAAATGAACACTTTGCCTATACTTTTGCCAAAATAACTACAACCTCTGACAAACTCGATGTGGCTCTCTAATCTCTACCACACTATTTCATGACAGTCGAAAGCTTAAACTTCGGCAGCTACCTACAGCCTTTGATCTTAAGTGGGCCAATTACACATTTAATCCCTGAGATAAGAAAAAGAAGTGCTATCTCAACATCATGACTTGCATGATAAATCTTTTACTTATTTACCCTGGGGTAGTATGAATGACCATGGGGGAGGTCTTTATCAGCAGCCAAATCTTTAAAACCTATAAAAAAAATACATTTAAAAAATACATTTAAAAGTCTAATACTTTGGCAATTTTGGCTAACAGCTGGTTCTGTCCCCTAGGCCCTATGTTTGACACCCCTGGTTAAAAACACAGGGGGAGAGAGCTGATTCAACAGTTTGTTGGGGTAGGTTGAAATGTAACGACCACATAAACTTTGCTAGATGTTATGTGGTGTATGTGATATTAAGTATAACTATAGGAGGGAAGAAAAAAAACAACAACCAAGACAATCTGTTCAAGTAAAATAATTGTTAGGTTCCTATTTCTTTCCATCTCCTTGGTTTATTTGATTTTTGTTGTTTTTCCAGACTCAAAATGATATGTTGGTCTATTTTTTGCCAATATACTCAAATACTTTTTTACATATATATTTGTATGAAACTCTCTTCCATGCCTAACTACAGATACAGCTGCCTAGTATATCAAGCTTCAACTGTACGTGCCTGTCTCATACAAGGAGATGTCCAGTGACAAGGGTTACGAGTGGACATATGTGTTTATACATATGCCCACACGCCTGTGTGTGTAAAATTAGGCTAGGGAGGAAGGGAGAGTTTCATTCACCAGATACCAACGGTGGCTTCTGTGCTGCGGGGCTTTCTAACTCGCTGGCTTATTTATAGATTTTTCACTAGAACAGAAAGTGTGCTTGGAGAAAAGCTCACAAATAGAGATCACCTGTCAAACACAGTTATTGTCCTTGTCCTCCAACAGATGGGAACTTTCCAAAGTATGCATTAAACTAGGACATTGTGAGTGCACTATCATTATCAGTAATTTTTAGGAAAGAAAACCGGAGCCAAACCAGTTTGCCTGTTTGATTTCACTATGAGAGTTTTTGCAAACCCTTGCTGACAATGCTTTGAGCACAAATGGGAGGAAAAATGAAACATTTCTATTTTTGCGTAGGAGCCATCCACAGTGAACAGTCAGCAGAAGACAAATAACGGAGGTGTAATACACTGCTCAAATAAAAAAAAAAAATTAAAGGAGCACTTTTTAATCAGTATAGCATCAAGTCACTTAGACTTCTGGGATATTGATCTGGTCAGTTAAGTAGCAGAGGGGGTTCTTAATCATTGTCAGCTACTTTGGTGTTAATGAAATTAACCAGCAGTGCACTAGAGGGGTAAAAAATGATACAACCACCAAAAGACGAATGGTTTTAAACGTGGAGGGTAAAACCAAGCATGAGGTGAGGGGATACCTGCACTTACAGTGGTTGCAGGTATTACCAACTCCTCCAGGATGACAGGTTTGCTGTGTCTCCCAACACAGTCTCAAGAGCAGATATACACAAGACTGTTACAGATAACTTAAAAATGGTAAATGGTCTGTAATTGTATAGCGCTTTACTTAGTCCCTAAGGACCCCAAAGCGCTTTACACATTCAGTCATCCACCCATTCACACACACATTCACACACTGGTGATAGCAAGCTACATGTAGCCACAGCCACCCTGGGGCGCACTGACAGAGGCATAAATTTGCATTTACTCAATAAATCTTTTCCTATTGAAGGTGTGCTAGCGGAAAGACGTTAGCTTGTTTGCAGCTTGTTTTAACATTTGCTTGAATAGTAAAACACAGCCTACAGGAGATGCTTGTTACACCTGATCTAAAATGCGGTTTAGTAATGATGTAAACTAGGAAAAAGCTAGATTACTTTCACTTAATTTAGATTAGCTTAATTTCACATTGACTACGGGAGCAGTGCCAACTCAAACACACAGATTACCTGTAATAACAAACCAATAACCTGTAATTAGAAAAGAACAGTGGTTAACTTTGATTTTACTTGGCTCTAAAAACTGTTGTGTTTTCAGGCTGATATTATTACTCATTTTTAATTGGGCAGCATTGGGAAATCATATTTCCTACCAAGCCCATTCAGATATTTCTAAAGCTTTATACACAAACCTACTGAGGGATTTACAGTACAAACAGCTTATGCAACCTTATCCAGGTCTCTTGTTTACAAAAGCAGCTGATGGGAAATGTTCAATAAATCATTTCACAGGAGATTTGTGGGGAACACTACAAAACAAATTCAAAAACACAGTCTCCTCTGGGCATTTCTATACATTCCTCATGCACAATAAACAATTGAGCAGAAGATGTTACACAACTGATAACCCACGCAGTCTGTATAGAGAGGAGACCTGCGACAGCCACTATCCCCAGCACGATGAATGTAGTTACAGAGCAATGGCCTTTTTGGTTTTTCATCAGTGGACCTATCAAACGTTCGAAGGAAGGAACCAATCAGTGAGTGGTCTACACCTTCTGTGAATACAAGGAGAGCTGTTTCTAAACAATGTGCTGACAAAGTTCTTCCTGCAATCCGTCCCGTTATCCAACCAGGAAGGAAAGGAGCACGTCTCGACTTTGGGTGGGGTTGTTTGAGAAAAAGAGCATCTTGCTCGCTGTTCACCTCTGCAGGACAAATCCTTTTTATAAATCTCGCCCCTGAGCGTGCTGGGCTTTAGAAATGAGAGAATCGGAACAAATTTTAAACATTAAAGTTGGCACCTCAGTCCAGCTCTGTCATCTCTGCACGTAAAAAGCCCTCAAGAGGCTGGAAGTGTCTGGCTTTCTGTCAAATACATTTAGATCCCTCAACAAATGAAATAAAACTCCCTTTGTACGGCAGTCTGGGCCTACGAGGAGCAAAACATAATACCCTTGACTGCCTCTCATGCCTTGTCACTCACTATAACCGGTTAGTCTGTCCTGTGGCCAAAGTCAACTCTGACAACCAGAAAGGGGGTTCAGACTATAAGTCAAGAAGACCAGCTTCACTTAGCCACGCAAACAAAGTTTAGATTATGACCTGGATAGCTTCTGAGGGGCTTCTGGATTCTGTGCATTTGTGGCTGTGTGTACAGAAGAGATGGCTAGACCAGATTGGGTGCAGAAAGCCAAACATCTGGCTGACACTTGTCAAATGGCTTCACACGAGTGCCCACACCAACAGGAATACTGCTGCTAATTTAAAGAGCACATTAGAAAGTGACTTTGTTATTTCAGAGCCAAAAAAAGAAAGAAAGAACAGCTTAAGTATGTTTAGCTGTGGGTCAGAGCAAAATGGGGCGTTAAAACTGGTCACCAGACGAGTGCTTATACAGCTTCCAGTGACTGCTCGGTTTGTCTGCCACCTCAGACACTAAAAGACCATCATGTGAAAGCAATTCTCCGTGATGCTTTAAAAATACAGCCTTTTCTATTTCAGTCCATGATCCTTCTTTTATGTGAGAAGAAAAAAATCTTGATTCAATTACTCATCTTCTGACCTCAGCTCTGGGATAAACAGTTTAGTCTCTCATGGAAGAGGAGAAGAGCTGCCAAATCGCAAACGACCTACACATACGGACGATCTGAAGATCACAAAAGCCAGAGAAAGGCACAGGGAAAACAAAAAGCTGCAGCTGTCAATAGAAACTGATGGTTATCTAAGAATCGCAAATCCTGAAAGGAAATACTGAAACCTCATATCCCTGTGAAAACGCAATACTTTATCCCCTCTTCGTTTTCATTTCAAACTGTTTATCATACATGTATACCTAGATTTGAATCGCCACATTAGAAGATAGCAGAGAATTATGAGTAATACTGATGATGGCAGTAAAGTAACAACAGATTGCTGACACGGGTCTTTGTAATCATTCTAAACTAACTTTCCATAATACCTGGAAACATGAAATAATGCTCACATAGCTCAGACGTTATAAAGTTTGCTGTAAAAAAATGAGAGAAGACACAGACAGGCTGTAAAACAGGCGTGAAGCTGCAGCGTCAGCAGTAATGCTGTTACAGCCTATAGGCTCTGTGCTGCAGCTCAATGTGAGGGCGCAGTCTGTGCTCCAGGGCAGAGCTAGCTCAGGTTTAATGGTCTCAGTTAAACCACCAGCAGTGCTCACTGGTGCAGGAATGGCCTTCATTAGGTAACAGAGCAGAGCTGGAACCTCGAGCCTGGGGTGTTTTTAAGCTCTGTTAAGCGGTCGACCTCTCGGTTTATTTTATGCACGGCTCTTTACAGCGAATAAGCCGTTCCTAGCTGCTGCCTTCATTTACGTGTCCCCTGTACCCTGTATATCATTCTAATGTTTCTAAACCCCGGTGCGCAGACCGCTTCATGCGCGAGTATTTGCAAAGATGAGTCAGACGCCGAGGGGGCCATGCTTGAGCCGTGTGCGATATTAAGCAGATATTTTGTATAATGAGCGGTTTATGCAGTCAGTGAGTCAGGATGGAAGATTAAGAGAAGCTACCAGGAAAATGCTGGCAACTACAGACACCGGCCTCCCGTTTTTCAAATAATTAACCGTTTCTCTAAATGTGGCTGCAACAGTGAAGTTTTTTAGGGGGTAGCAGTAGGTACTCAGCATTGTGACTGGAAGACAGCAAAGTTAATTTCCTGCCTGTTACGAACATAATAGGTGGCTGTTTCAGTAGTGCCTATCCAGTAAAGCATGCCACATGTGAGTCAGAGAACCCAAGGCCACCATATGCATGGGAATGTGGTGCCAAGAGTACTGAATGTGGTCTGCATTGCCAAAGTTGACATTTATAGAAAAGTCTGACAAATTAGTAGTTTTTAATGAGAAGGTTTGGGCATACAGTTATTTTTCCTTCCCAAAAAGAACAACTGAGAACAGAACACCTTCAAATTTGTTTAAACATCCCTGGAATACATTGTGATTACCAATTTAAGATCCTATATAGGATATAAATCCAAATCTGACTTTTATTCTTTGCTAGAAGCACAAGAAAACTGTAAATAGCCTGCACTTATCCACAGGTTTCGACAAAGTACTTTACAATATGTTTCACATTCACTCATTAACACACACACTATAACTGGTGGTAGAGCTGCCATGCAAGGTTCTTGCCTGCCATCAAGAGCAAATTACTTGTCATGACCAAGGAAAATACGCAGGAGTTTGAGAATGAGGCCTGTGATTAGTGGACAACATGCTGTATCACCCCAATCAGAGAACTTGTGGAAAGGCGGGTCAGAAAAACGCAATGATGTGAAAATTTGAAGTATTAGAAAAAAAGTACCTTTTCTATCTCCTGGGCTTTGGCTGCGATGGCAAGGGCTCGTCGCTCGTGGAAATTGTCTGTAGATTTTTGGCTCTCTTCCATGACGGGAGCTACCAGTGGCTCTTCTTTTTCTCCTTCTGGAGGGGGGTTTTCCTCCTAAAGGAAAACAATAGGAAGGTGTGAGCTGCAGGGATATTTAAGGAAAACTAAGAAAGCAGCAGAATGGTTATTTCTAACAGTATATACCACTGCCATGAAACATTTATGCCAAGAAATCATACTACTACTCTACTACAGCCATCAAACAACATTGAATTGTAAAGGATGTACAGTCAATGCTGTGCTACGACATGACCTACTGACTCTTTAACTTTGAAGGAGACGTGGTTGATGAGGCATACATTAAAGCTGAAAAGCCAGAGTGGACTCAGTGGAAAAAAACAACAACATATACACAGAATTTGCAGTATAGAAATCTATACCTGAGGCACAAAATACAGCTAGAGCCTATATTTTAAAATGTTTGTTACAGATCAAAACTTAGCTTAATATTAATGTTGCTTTTCTACCCAAGCAGTAACCCTGCAGTTTAGTAGAACCAATCTATAACACGGAAAACCATAAAACTCACATTTTAGCTGTGTTTAAGACAGACTCTTCAGAGCAAAGAAATCACAGCCAGACAAGCCATGATTAAGCATCTAATGGGCAAATTGGAAACCAAGGCATCCATAAATACTACCGAGAAAGCCACAAGAGAGATCTAAGGGAAGAAATGAGGCCGACTTGGATGGGTGGTCAATTTCATTTGCTCATTTCCTGATACTATTAAAGTTTGAAGGCCAAGGAGCAGAACTGCCCAACCATGACTAAAGTCCACTCATACATTAAGGGAAACAGGCCATGGCAACTAAGTCATACTTCATCCATAGATGACTAGAAAGAAATTACAGGGGGTGGTACATCACAAAGCCGAGTGCGGTCTAAAATAATAATAATAAAAAAAAGCACAGTGCAAAGCATCATCCAATTATTCCTCCTTCCAATACTCTCCCTGAAGCTATGCTTGGGATAAGTCCCATGTATTTGCTTGGACTTGTATGAAAGATGGCATCTACTGCACCTCAGCAGAAAAATATCCCTTGTCTGAGTCTCTTTATTTCAACTCGCAAAGCATAGCCTAACTTGGAAATCGTGCTCTGCTCTCAAGATAAGGCTCAAAATAGATCTTCTGTTAACTGTAATAAATCAAAACATTATTGTTTCAGCAGAATGGGTAAACTCTGAAAAAGAAGTGGAACTGAATTTGGTTCTTGGCTGTAAAATGGAGAAACAGCACTGGACTTAATATTGTTCTATGTAATAGTTTGGACATCATCACACTGATGGAACAGCTTAGTTCTTCAAAATGCCTACAGTTTGAGCAAGCATCACAAAGTTCCTCAGGATCTCGCTCTTTGCAGTCTATTCAGCACGTGACTTTTTAAAAAACTTATCAAACTTTAGAGGCCAAAATTCAAGAGCTATGACATTTCTGATCACTGCAGCATGCTCATCTGCTGGCTCATACTCTGATCATCCAGTCATCCTAAGTCTCTCATAGCTATATTCAGTTGTTTGTTAGGTTAAAGTAGTGGAGTGGCCAACCAACCCAATGACACTGCCATTCCTGAATGCATGCTGCTAGAATTCCTAAAAATATCACAGTGACTGAATGCCACTCTACAGCAGTGCTTTGAGCATTTGTATTACTTTTTCCTGCTTCCTTCAGCAGATCTGTGCCCTTTACTGGTAAACCATTACACTCTATCTAACAGGAATTTGTTGTGTTGAGATGAAACCTGCCCATGACCTCCCTGCCCACCCTGGCTTGAAGCCAGAGCCGGTGGTGCTCTTTAGGTCCCGTCTTTGGTGTCTCCTGTCTGGGATGGCTCCAGAAAGCCTATGTGTTTGTTGAATCCCCACAGCAGGCAGTGACCAGGACCATTAGTGCAAAGCTTTACTGGGGGCACAGCGCAGGCCTTTCATCTTGGCCAAGGTTATGGGTTTGTGCCCCGAGAACACACAACAATGCACCACAGGCTAGATCAAACACAGCAGTAGAAGCACCAGTGTGCATGTATGTGTGTGTGGAGGGGTGGGGCGCTGAGTAACTTTCATCACAGCAGTTGATTTGGTGGTGGTAGGTGGTTCTGACAAAAATGATCATTAGAAGGAGAAGAAAGAACTTTGTTTATATGCTGCATCTTGTAATTTCTCGTGTATAAACCCGAGGGTGACTGTCTGGTTATTTGTTACTCAGCTTATTTTCATGTGTACACAACGACATGACGACATCGCCTCCACTGGGAATTTGTACGAAAAATCGAGCCCTCCTTGCCTGTAATGGTTGGCTTTACCATCTGAATCAACTGTGTCCAGCACTTGAAATGGCACTTAAATGTCAAGGTGAATTTATGTCTAAATTCTTCACATGTACAAGCCATAAATGTTTGTCAGCAATAAAGTTTAAGTTTGTCATTTTCAAAGCAGTGAAGCTGATAAAAATTAGGGTTTTTTTCCAGATTGAGCAATCACTAAATATTTATCACAGAAAGTAAATGCATCATTTGTGTATATTGTGCACGGCCCCTTTTTGATGTGTGAAGGCAGGAAAGCAACAACGTAGAGTCACAGCATGATGAGATCCGCTGCAATACTGACTCTTAATATTCGGAAACATAAAACATAAAAAGAAATCATCTTTCTTCCAAACAGCTGAACTCTGTGCGCCCTTTTGTAAAAACTACATACATGTTTCTTAAGCTGCACATGAAAGGTAGATGAACCCAGAGCTGCTGAGGGGTTAACAGATCACTTCAGATACACTATTGTTGGTGTGAGGAGAGGAACAAAACGGTGAGCAATTTAGTCCACCATACTTGGGGAAAAATAAGTGGACGAATATGAGCTGGATAACTGAAGGTTAACGGTATTAACATTTGCCAAGCTCTTTATTTTGACTTTTTTAGTCCTAATAACTCTTTAAAGCTGTGTTTGTGTATGTAGAAAACGGGAACATTAGGCTAATAACATACATTAGTCAACTGAATGGTTGTAGCGTGTCTAGACAGTAAAACTGTGGAACTTTTAACTGTGCTGACTGAATAATAAATAGGGCAGTGATAAAAGCTTCGTGCACTGCACAGGTCCTTGATCGTTTAATTATTTCCTGGTTCATGTTAGGGAAAAGATTATTGCTGTTAAAAGGTTTTCAGAGCAGAGCTTGCTGAGGTGTCAAATATCTGATATGGATATATATCACTTAACCCAATTACTTTATTTTGTGTATATTTAAGGGCCATGACTAAAACTGTGATATTTAAAAAAATAAATGTTTCTATTTTACCAATGCATGTGTTTTTTTTTCTTAATGATTTTTATTTCACTATAATAATACTGTGAATTATTCTGGTCACAATAACTGAAGGGAATATCTAATTTTGTATATTCAGATATTTATTTCTATCAAAATACATGTGATTATAAAAGTAGTTACACCTCCACTTGTACTAATTTGTCCTCTTGTGTATACAATGTGATATTTAGATGGTTTGACTTTGTTGCTGTTGTTTTAAAATAAACAAAAACAAAACTTGATTATGGGATCATTTTGACATCCAGATAAACAGTTGCTGGCATACATGCATACAGAGACTCCATTTAGAAGTAGTAATGTAATTACGTTGGTATAAAGTATTTTTAACCCTCACACAATCAACTATAATAGCAAAACCTTTTTAAGTTGCCAGAGCATGCAAACACACACAAGGTGTTGACCTGAATCTTGCTGAATACCGATTCCCTGTGAGCCCAATGCCCCATATTAATTTGTCACAATCACAAGACCCATTCCCTGCGTCATCAACAGGAAACTGAGGGCCTGCCAAACGCAGTTAGATGTGCTCTTTAAAAGTAAAAGTAAACTATTGTTCGTTATAAAGAGAGTAAATACATCCCAGAGTTACACGGGCATTTCTTATGACTCTGTGGTTACGATCTTGTGATAAAGTTGTGACCTGGGCTACTGATTTCTTCTCTACACTTCTGGGTGGCCACAGCCACATGTACTGCGCCTAATCACAACTGACTGTATTTACACTCCTCTGCATAGTTGGAGATGGATGACATCAGCAAAACAAAACATTATCAGCAAAACAATCAAGAAATATCCACATTTGACACAAAAAGTTGTTTTTTTTGTCGACACCTGAGCCCTTTGCCCCATATCATTACAAATTCTTGTAACTGAAGTCCGCTTACAACAAAGTTAAACAAAGTGGAGGCCCGATGGCTTTTATGCCCTGCATGAGGACCACTTTAAAACCCATTAACATACTTTGATGGGACTCAACACTTATTAGGAGGATGGAATTTAAGGACTTCCAGATGTATCCTGCTGTACAGTGACATAGGCAGACACCGTGGTATGCAAACAAAATAAAGCACAGAACATCTGAGACTCCACTGCTGTACTTACAATATATTAAAAAAAAACACAATTTAGAAAAATCCTTTAATGTTTTTGATCCTTCATGAAAACCTCAAGAAAAACAGTACCTTGACAGATGTTGCACTCTGTGGGGATCCCTCTCTTGACAGGCCAGGAATTTTGTCTATAGAAATTGAAAAGTGACAAAAAAAAGAAACAGTAAGACTGAAGTTAGAGTAAAAAAAGATATTTGGAATAACAAAATAAGAAATGAGAAAAAGGTGAAACGACGAGGGAAGCAGAAATTCAACGGAAAGAAGACAAGCAAGTCGGTCTGGAAAGTAAGTATAGGGGTGCTTATGGAGATCGCAGCCTTGTAAATGTGTTGGAAGTCTGGTTCCAGGATCCAATGAGGTATCTATACTAGAAGGTCTGGAACAATCAAGAAACACAACGGTGCTCTGAATCTCATTGGCTGAATGCACGGCTCCTCTCCAGTCACTGGAGAAGGAGTTTCTTCCTCTACTGACTTTCCTTCTATAAGAAAAACACTACGCTGTCCAAAGCCTTGTAATCAACTCTACTAACAAACTTCAAGCACCTAGAAATGAAACAAAAAACACTCCGGAGTGGCAGCTTTGGCTTCAGGAATATCCATCAGACATCCTATACCCTCTCCCCTCTACTTGCACACACGACCTGGTGGCATCTTTATGAGGCCTGACAAAGTGGTAGACAGAACGGAGAGCAAAGCTGGCTGCTGGAGACATTAGAAACCCTCTCTGTCTCTCTCAGGTTACGCAGACTGTGAATAGATTAGGTTTGACAACTGTAACTTTTCAATATATCTGAAACAAATCCTCTGCATGTCACCTCATCTTACTTTTTAATTCATTTCCACTGAACAAACAAAGGAATGCATGGCTATACATTTTGCAATATAATCCAGGAGAAGTGGCTAATTTGTCTATTAACTCATGAAACAAGACGTAGTCTATCCAGTCTTAGACGGCTATACTGAACTGTACTTACCGATCATCCTGCTCTGAGAATAAGTCTCTTCATACCCTGTTGGAAGACCAAACCGTAAGGTCACCGGCCAAGTACATCACAATTGCTTGGGTTTTCTTATCTAAAAGCAACCTATGGAGCATACGACTACTCTAATGCTTCCCTAAAAATATTTACTCTTAAAGCTCGTTCAAATCATGCATTCAGATGGCAACATTTTGCCATGTTAGCCATGAAAACTACTAAGCACTCACTTCGTGAGTGAAAAAGCGCCAATCAAATAGAAAGTGGACCTCAAAAGAAACAAAACCAACCTCCCCCCCAAAAGAAAAAACAAACACTGGTGGAAACAGGGGAATTAGAGGGATTAGAGACAAGAATGAATAAAGAACATGCACCGCACATGGAGATACGTTAGCACTTGTGCATTTTACAGTATAGTTATTTAATAATTTTTGGTGGTCTTACAGGAAATCTATTATGTGGACTTGGTTTTCCATAACATTCCAAGTGAGAGGGTGGGACTGAAAAAACAAAGAGCAATCCATGACGCTCTTACATTATTCAGCCACTTTCTAGATAAGCTGTAAAATTCACTGTTCCCACACAGAGTCATCTTATCAGATGTATTTCCAGACAAGATGTATTTGTAGTCATTAAAGTGTAATATAACACTAAATAATATATCTGTGATGAAAATGTGTTCAATTGGAACATCTCTGACATTTTAAATCATTTTTAACATTACTTTATAAAAGTGCAGGAACCATGAAAAGTGCTAATGTACCTCGGGTAGTGGAAATGGCATTGATAACACTACAGCAGTCTGTACTAAACTCTAATTCAGAAACTACTTTCATGATATAACTTACAAAAGACCTGGGTGAAAAAAATGTCTGTGTCAAAAAGTTTCCTTTGTAAAATATTTTTTCTTTTGAGAGGCGGCTCGACTCTCAAGTCACTGAAATTTAAAAAAGCCTGAAGTCTTCTGTTCTTGCATCCTTCTCAAGACAGAACACAAAATGACAAGGATGCAAGAAAGGAACAACAACCCAGCTTACTGTCACCCAAGTCTAAGCTTATTTACATAGCTCAATGTACAGACCCAAAGTGTCATGTCCACTCTGTTGAGGAAAGAGTGCCCCCCAGAGGTGCTCAGAAACACCCGTGTGACCCTCTGGACCATCCACACCTGAAAAGCCGGTCAGCCAGGTTAACAGCCATGGACAGACAGTGAATAACAGTAAAATAAGAAATGAAGGATGGAAGAAAAAAAATATACAATCCATTTCAGAACAATGCACATTTTAGGAGCTGAACTTAAAACATGACCTTGAATCAGGGCCTACAGGCACACACAGATTACCTTATTTACTTTTGTGCTCTGGATAGTTAGTATAAAATTTAGCTTTCCAAATGAACGATGTTTACTCAGAGGCTGTGTGTCCTCTTCCTGAGTTAAGGCAACAAATGGCTTATGAGTAGAGCTTGTCAGTGGAAGCAGTGACTACACTTTCTACTCCATTTTAGCAGTGCTGTTACATAATTCGTTCCATCAGCTGGATTGTTAAGACCAGAACTAATTACCTTTATTCTTTAGTATTTATTAATGCTGTGCCACTTTATTGAATTTATATTGTATTAATCTGTGTTACCGACTTATTAAGTTAACTCCACATGTTATGGTGATTTGCTTTGGAGTTTTAAACTCTTATCAATATTATGATGCCAGTAAAAGCACTGCATACTGCATCAGGGGAGGGGAAACTAAGATTTCTACATACTCTTGCCTTGCTGTGAGGGGAAAGGGAGGCTCTTGGCTCTGTCTGGTGAGTATCCTCTGCTGCTGACGCTGGAGCCAGAGCGGCTGTGCGGGGAGCGGGCCACCTCTCGGCGCACGGGAGAACGATCTCTGAGGGGAGGAAACGGGGCTGCCTTTCTCCTGTAGTGGTCTCTGTCCTCCCTGGGGAAAACAGGGGAAATGTGAGCCCTGCCAAAATCTGAAAGGTCCAAACATTGACATCTTTTTTTTTCTTTTTTGTGAATTATCTGAGGTTAAAGTTATTCCTGGTTGCAATCTAATGGCAGCAATTTACCATTGCCCAATGACGGGTCCACCTCTCTCACTCATTTATGTACCAACACAGAACAATGCTGCCACCTAGCACTGTAAGGTCATTCTGCTGTGTGCAACAAATTCCTGTTTTATGTTTTATTTATGCTACCCATATCCGTTTGCAGAGCTATTTGCGGAGAAGCTTTTTAAAACCATAATTTCCCCAAAAGACTGCAAAAACTGCCCTTTTGACTTGAACACTATTGTTCCCCTTTAATATTTTAAAACGTGCATCCCAAACATTTTCATTCAAAGATCACAGTAGCTGTTGTTGCTAATGCACATTTTTTTTACTTTTTTAAAAAAACAAGATGCCAAGTTAGTTACTTGCATTCCTGAACATTAAAGTTTAAGTGTTTAAATGTTATGCCTGGTTTCCTAGAGAAGTCCAGTGTGTTAAAACTTGGGTATAAACAAGTGTGAATTTAGTTTAATACCCCAAATGATGTAGGAATTTTCAGTTTTAAACAAGTTGACTGATATCTAAAATACAACTGTGCTTATTTGTTTTTATGACAGGTGCTTTAACCTCCTAGGACCTGGCGTCCACATATGTGGACATCACATTTTTGGGTTGTCTAGACCAAAATACCCTTGGCAAACGCTGATTAGTTTTGCTCTACAGGGCCTGATATATACTTACGAGGACATTATACTGCCACTGTTCTATCAAAATTTAAAACGAATGTCCTCATATGCGGACCTCATTTTTCTCAGACACAAAAATCAGGTAAAAAGAAAAATAAAAAAATCTGGTAATAATTTTTTTTTTTACATTCATCAGGTCCCAATCAGCCCAAATAGCAAAGAGAAATTAAAAATGCATGCCATGAAAGAGTTCGGGTCTTACGAGGTTAAAAATGTAGGTGCTATATATAATAAATTAAGACATTTCTTTATTGGCTTGACATTGTCTGCCATACAAAGTCATTAATAGGAATTCACTCTTACCCTCTGTCCAGGTTTAGTATGGCCTGTACTAGTGTGTCTTCTCCACTCTCTGGGAGCGCTCTGGGTGCTGGATAGATGCCTTGGCCTCTAACGCTATGAGGAGGTGGTGCACGGGCACTGAGGGGATTAACACAAAATAAAAGAGACGCACACACAAGTTAGTGTTTGCAGATAAGCACACAGTGTAGTACATTGTGTTTATTTAGATTTCTTTGGGGAAATTGTGAAGAGCCTGTAACATAACCTATGTAAGTGGCCGACGGTGTTGCCGGCATCTATGCTTGTGTGCTGAACATTATGTGATAGTGTAATGTCTCTGTGTTTTATATGTGGTGTCAACCATGACAAAAACAAATAAAATGGTGGGACTTTTCCCCCTCCTGGTTCTTCACTCTTTGTTGTGGTCAGTTTTATTTTTCAGTGGAGCAAAAATGTTTGTCCCTCAAGATTTTCCACTTCTTTGAACATTCCTCATGTCCATCCTGCAATCTCTCTTCAGAAATTTACTGACATTTGTGAGTACTTAATTGACGCTATGATTGTTATTACCTATAATGAGGTGATGATTGTTACTCTCTCTGATATATTAAATTAAAAAAGCTGCAGCAAAACAGTAGCTGGAGATGTATAGGAGAAATCAAATGTATTGAGCAGATCAACCACAATGTGTACATTTCTAGGGAGGTGCATGTCAGGCTACAGTTCAGAAGGGTGTATGACACAGTTA